CACACACACACACACACACACACACACACCAAGAATGGCCTCTCTGTGCCAGCTGAGAGCACTTACCTGTGGAAGGTAAGTCTTATCTACTATGTAGATAACACAGTCCCCCTTAACCCTCCCATATACTCACTAGACAGGAGCACCATGGCCGAGAGGCAGGACAGGAGAAGGACCTGTCGCCAAGTCATCTTTGTAGAAGCTGAGTCTCTTTGCAGCTCCTAATGCTGCTGATGCTGACTTTCGCCTGGTCCTCACTCTGAGTCAGGCAGGACAGGCAAGAGGGAAGGAAGAGAGAGGCAGGAGGCCAGGAGGCCACTGGGGGAGGGTGGGAGGGGTCCTGGCTGCAGTTTCCATTGGCTGTTCCTGACTGGAGCACTGGAAATGTTTTTGGCGCCTGGCAAACCTCTACAGAAGCAAAGTTTATAGTCAGGGGCCCTGCATGTGATAGTTTTGAAGTGGCCGGTCCAACATCCCAAAGAGTTGCTATTGAGAAGGCTCAGCCTAAGAGTCAGGACTCCAGAGACCAAGGGCATGTTTCAAAGAACTCCTGGCATCTGCTTCAGGAAGGTTGGGACCCTAGACTCCAAGTCCTGAGCATACGAGAGCAGGGAGGAAGAGGGTAGCACTGGGAAATCCTTATTCAAATGCCAGGCAAGGTGGGACCATGGTGTCCAGAACAGCCATCCAGGTAACACAGAAACATGTGAGTCATTCTGGTAACAACAGACAACTCCCTCCCTTGACACATTGTCCCCAGCTGGTGATTGCTGCCAAGCAAAGCATGGAACCCTAGCCTTGGGAGTCCTAGAGCCCCTTGGAGAAATAGAGGAAGAGAATGGGTCAAGCTTCCCCTGTAGAGAAGGAGGGGTACAGCATTTGAAAAGAACCACTTTTAGGCACACTTCTTCAGAACCACACAAACCACACTCACCACGCCCATGTGGGAAGGAACTTGTCCCTAGAAATGGGATCAATGAGGAAATCAGAGCTCTGTGGGGCATCAGAGCCCAGCCTCTATGGTGGCTTGTTCCTGCCATTGCCATTTATTATGACCTTCATCAGTACTTTGTTACCTGCTGAAGAATTATCCCCTGGGCATTGTGGAGAAAGAAACTTTTTAATGGCGACCATCACTAGACGCAAAACCCAGCCCATGCCCATCGGAGGCTCCCCTTCCATAGACTGTATGTTACCATCCTGCATGAACTTGATCATTGGTCAGGAAATACGTGTTAGTGCCAGAGAAATAATGGAGGCAGAGTAAATAAAATAAACAGGTTGACTTCCAGTGGAGAAAAATGTGGCCAGTGGCAGTGCTGGCTCTATGTGGGCTCCCCTTGGACACTGACTGGACTATACTTAGTCAGTGGGGAAAGGCTGTGGGTGCAACCTGTGCGAGGTCACATCAGCAAGGACTCATCAAACAGATGAATAGATGTCCCTGGGAGGGGGAAGGGCCACAGACAGAATGCTTTTGATGGGATTTCTAGGTGAGAAAATGGGTGTGGGAAACACCTGTGACATTCTTGACATCCTAAATCCACCTGTGCCTTATTTCAGTTACATGCACTTTAACCACATTTATTGAGCACCTCCTTTGCCCAAGATCCCCTAGTCACTGGGGATCAGCTTTAAGTAAACCTGTGTAGTTTCCCCAAAAGTGTTTCTGCTCCCCATTGAACACTGTATTTACCCTGTTCATCAGGCACAAAGGCTTCAGAGAATAATCTCAAGCCCTGTGCAGTCAGGAGACGGTGGCAGGAGATCCAGAATGCACAGATTCAAGGAATGGAGACTGGAAATTTATAGGTAATTAAGCCCAGTTCTGGAAAAATAAGTTTGCATTTCTTATATAACTAAGCTGGTGACCTGAGATTCTCCAGGCTACACTGATCTGTTCTAAGTGATGATCTGACCAGAGCTTGTCTCAATAATCTCTCAGTTCCTTCAGAACTTTCTAGATCATTGGTACTTGACTTTCCATTATCAGGTGTGCTGCAGAGCCGGCCTCCTCGTGACATGATGCCCCCAAGTATAACAAACCATATCACCTGAAAGCAGGGTACTATTCTGATGGCTGGGGGAAGACAAGAAGGATACTGAATCTGACATCAGAAGACAGGTGCCACATAGTAGATTTGTCCAATGACACATCCTTTGAGCTTTCTCTTCATTCTGTTTCATCCATTTCAGTGAATGATCTCACCATCTGTCCACCCAGTTACCCAATTAGAAACTCAGGGACCATCACAATACACACCTCCCAACCCCTCACTGTTCCGAGCTTATTAGTCATCACATCCTTAACTCTTTTTGAATATTCTCTGTCCTCCTTCCCATTCCTGCTGTTTCTGCACTCTACAGACATCATGTCTCTCTTGGACAATTGCAACAGTCTTCTCTAAGACCCAGTCACTTTTCACCTAATTCACACTGAACCCCTCCTGCCTTCCATGTCACTGGGAGGGTATTGTTCCTGGAAAACCCTCCTGTGGTCACTGCTTTAAATCATCCAGTGGTTTTGTGATTGTGTCACATGATAAGCATGCATACAGTGCTCAGAGCCTCTCTGCACCATTCCAAGGACTTTGTGTCCATCAATCTATGTGACAGAGGAGGGTATTAAGGCACAGAGAAGTAAAGTGACTTGCCCAAGGCCCTGCAGCTTCTGTAAGTCCAGAACTGGAATTGAGCCCATGGAGCCTGGCCTCAGGGTCTTGCTTATCACTGTCATCCAGTACTGCTTCACAGGCAGGAAGGATGAACCCCTCACAGTGCCAGGCCCTGCCTGCCTTCAGCCCCTCCACATGCTCCTGTGTTCTGGGGATCCCTAAACTGTCTGTGGGTCCTCAGAAGGGCCTTGCTGCTCTGGGCTTCCATTCTGATAGGGCTTTGGGAACCCTTATCCTTCAAGTTTCATCTGAGCTTTCACCTCCTCTTTGAAATCTTCCTGATCCCACCTGCTTCCCCTTGACTCCCATAGATGAGTATCCTCACGTTTTTTTCACATCATGTAACATATAGATATGTATATGTTTATATACACATTTTTAAGATTTCTTACACAGCATTTTTACACAGCATTTTTAAGATTAATTCACACACCATACAATTCACCCATTAAAAGTATGTAATTCAATGGTTTTTAGTATATTCACAAAGTTGTGACTCCACCACAAAAATCATCTTAGGACACTTTCGTTGGCCCCCAAGAGAAGCCTTTGACCCACTAAGAGTCACTCATCATTTTCCCTACCCCAGGGCCTTATGTAGCCTCTCATTTCTGATCTGTCTCTGGATTTTTCTGTTCTAGACCTTTCACCTAAATGAAATTGGTCAATATGTGACATTTTGTGTCTGGCTTCTTTCAACTGGCAGACTGTTTTCAGGGTTTATCCTTGATGCACCATGCATCAGTCCCTCATTCCTTCTTATTGCTGAATATTAATGAATAATATGGATATGCAGGATTTTGTTTATCCATCATCAGTCAATGGTCATTGGTTTGCTTCCATCTTTTGGCTATCATTAATTATGATGCTGTAGACATTTGTGTACAAGAGTTTGCGGAGGCACATGCTTTCATTTCTGCTGGCCAGACACCTGGGTCTTATATTTAATATTTTGAAAAACTCATATCTCAAATGTTTATTTATTTAGCTATCTCCTTCAGTGTTGTGAGATCTCTTTGGAGGCATGTTTTCTCCTTGTCATGATTAATATGGTGTGTGACATTGACTAGATGCTTCCTGCATATTTATTGATCCATTAAAATGGCCTTTCATGAGAGTATCAAAAGGAAACACTTATATGCTCATTTCAATGGGCTATTCATGAAAAGGTACCTGTACTAAGACATGAAATTTCCAAATTTATGTACCACTGGGTTTAAGATCCTTCTCAAGTGGCAGGAATGAATTTTGCAGTGAATTTTTGAAGAATTGCCTTAGAGAGTAGCCAAGATGGCTTCAACATTCACCGCAGTTTAGTTAAATGTTAGACAAGTTTCTTCCTGACTAGG